TCGGCAGTCCGTCTGTCCCCAGGTCTTAGATGCCGTATGGGGGAAGGAAAGAGATGCTGCTGCTGGCGTCTGGCTGCTCCGTCGTATCCTGCTCACTAACACTGCTGGTCTAAAGCGTTTCGTGGGTGTCAGCCCCACTTCTTCAGAGACATGCTGCAGCTGGATTTGGATGTCTGTCTTATATACAGAGCTGATGGGCTGCGTGTATTATTGGTTAACTAAACATGTAAATCTCATTATATATACATAGAGTGGTTATAAAAACAAATTGTAAATTAGGAACAAATTGTAAATTGAAAATACAATAAAATAATATAATAGAGTAAAATACAGTGGTTTGATACTTATTAAAATGATACATACACAAATACAGTATTGTATGTGCAAATCAGAATTACTATATCATAATTAATTAGAAGTTAGTAAGCTTATTGGCAGTTATAGAATTGATTATAATAAAAAGTAATAAAAAAAGTAATAAAAAAATAAAAAATAAATAAATCCAAAATGAAATGGATATGTGCTTAGAAAACGATCTGTGGGAAAATGGATATATTATAAAAAGGTCATGGAGAATTTGAAGTAGAGGCTGTGCCCCAAGTTACATTACAAACCCAAATGGTATCATAAGTGATTAATAAAATGTTTGAGGATCATAAAAGCATTAGAATAGAAACTGTGCACAAAGTCATTTTATAAATGTAAATGATATCGGTAGTGATTAGTGCATACTAAGAAGAATAGATTCAAATAGAAGCTATACCTGAACTTATATTGCCAATGCAAGTAGTGTCAGTATCCCAGTGAAATAACCAGATTGGGATTTTACAGTTTCATTATCATAATGAAATATCTGATTAGAATTATAGAGAGAATATGTGAAAAAAGAGAAAAATGTGAATGCAGTAATATTATACTACATATATAGTGTCTCTACTGAGGTAGATAATGGTTGGATAAAATATCCTAAAATGTGAATTGCGACTATATACTGAGTAGAAGAACTTAGTGCAAGGAATTAAAAAGTGATGGATAATATTACTCAATATAAAGTGCGCAGTGTGAAAATGTGCTTGTGTATGTATAAAAAACTGGGTTATGAAAAAAAAAAAAAAAGGTAAACTTTATAAGAATGCATTGAGTTCAAAATCCAAATTAAGACCCTTAGGGGCCAAAGTCTCTAGGTGGAATATCCACCTAGCTTCTGTTTGGTCCAGATTCTTATCTATATTGCCCCCTCTCCAATTGACATCTACCTTTTCAATCGGTAGGAATCTTAGTCCTGTGGGGTCTCCTCCGTGAAAGTCTTGGAAATGTCTTGACAAATTATGGGTTTGGAGACCCTTTCTAATGTTCCTTATGTGTTCCGCCATCCTCGTCTTCAATGCCCTTTTTGTACGTCCTACATACTGTTTAGAACACGGACATGTGATGAGATAGATAACTCCTTTTGAATCACAATTCATGTTGGTCTTAATATCATATTCCTTCGTGCCATCCATAGATGTGAATTTAGTCATTTCAAAATCCAGAGAAGGATTATTAGTACACGCAACACATTTTTTACACCGCTTGAAACTTTTTGTGGCCATCGTGTCTTGTTGGATCTTGCATTGCTTGAGAGTTGGAGCCAAAAGTAATTGTAGATTGGGTGCTTTGGTAAAGATGATACGTGGTTGGTTCTCCAGAATACCTATCAAGGAAGGGTCACTCATGAGGATATTCCAATGTTTCTTTAGGATTTTCTCTATAGTGCGGGACTGGTGGTTATATTGGGTTATAAAAGCTGGTATGGGTTGATTCATCTCAATAGTTTCAACTTTATTTTTAAGGGTATCTTGTCTTGGAATAGTTAAAGCTCTAGTTTTAGCCTCAGTAAGTAATGTTAGGGGATAGCCTTTGTTGATGAATCTTTGCTGCATCTCCTCCATTTGTTCACCGCATACTTGTATGTTTGAGCAGTTCCTTCTAATCCGCCTAAATTGGCTATACGGGATGTTTCTGAGCCAAGTATTCTTGTGGTGGCTATTAAAAGGAATAAAACTGTTGCAGTCTACTGATTTTTTAAAAGTTTTGGTTTGTATCTGGTTGCCTTCTATATAAATGTTTAAATCTAAGAACTCAATTTGATCACGTGACTGATTAAAAGTAAACTTTAGATTGTAGGGGTTGTTGTTGAGGTAGGTCTTGAACAGTTCAAGGGAGTTTTCATCTCCCTTCCAGATAAAAAAGCAGTCATCTATGTATCTTCGCCATAGGGACAGGTTTGCGCCAAAAGGGCAATGTTCCCATATGAATTCTTCCTCCCATTTGCCCATGAATAGGTTCGCATAGCTTGGCGCAAAACGAGTCCCCATGGCGGTCCCCTCAATCTGTAAATAAAATTGGTCATTGCACCAAAAATAATTATGAGTGAGTATAAAAGCAATGCATTGTATTAAGAAGTCGATTTGGTCATTCTTTAGTTCTGAATAGGTTGCCAGTGAATATTGTATTGCCTCGCATCCTTGCAAGTGCTCTATCACTGTATAAAGTGAGGTGACGTCTGCTGTGACTAAAATCATGTCCTTGGACCAGTTAAAATCGGATAAAAGATTTAATAGTTGTGTAGAGTCTCTCAGGTAGGATTTGAGACGTGGTACCAGATTTTGTAGGTACTGATCGACGTATTCGGAGAGGTTAGCCGTGAGGGATCCAATTCCCGAGATAATAGGTCTGCCTGGGGGTTTAGTCAATCTTTTGTGAATCTTTGGTAGATGATAAAAAACGGGTATTCTTGGAAACTTGTTGTAAAGATATTTAAATTCTCTTTCATTGATAATCCCTCTGGTTCTACCTTGGTCGAGTATCTCTTCTAATTTGCCCTTGAAATGGGAGGTAGGGTCTTGTTTAAGTTTCAAATAGGTGCTTGTGTCTTCCAATAATCTAGTGTTCTCTTCTGTGTAGTCAGTCGTATTGAGAATGACCAAACCACCTCCTTTGTCTGCCGCTTTTATGATTATGTCCTCTGAATTCATCAGTTGCTTCAGAGATTGCCTCTCCCTTTTAGTTAGATTATCTTTCTCTATCTTGTTTTTAATCCTTCCTCTAAAATCTTTTTCTACCATTTTTTCAAATACTTTCATGGAATCAGTCTTTACAAATTGTGGGTAAAAAGTAGAGGTGGGATGTAGATTGGTTTGTGTGTACTCCTGTATTGGGGTGGGTGGCATCTTGTCCTTACCATGAAAGAATTTCTTGATTGAGACTTTTCTCATGAATTTATGTAAATCTATACATGCATTAAAATTGGAGCTTTTAGACGTCGGTGCAAATTTTAGACCCTTTTTTAGGAGTGAGGTTTCTTCCAAATTGAGTATTCTTGTTGATAGATTAAATATGTTCATTTCCTCCTTTTCAGCTGAGTAACTTCTTCCTGTTGTTCTGGATCTTCTTCTGTTTCTCTTATGGATCTTTTCTTTCTCAACTCCGGGGACCTGAAATCTTCCATTGCAAATCTTTTGGGGGGAATCCTTCCCCGCTTGTCTAAAAAATCGTTCTCTGTATGTGTAGTTGGTTGACTTTTGGTTTCTCTTGGGACTACGTTATTGGAATCCGATCTTATTTGGTCAAATGTTGGAGTTTCTGCAGTTGGAGTATATTGGTGTCCATGTCCCTGTGTGTGCCAATCTCTCCTTTGGTATCTCATATATTGTCGGTTTACTAGATCTGTGTGTCCTCTTTTTGTATATTGGGATGGACGGTATCCTCTATGGTCCTGGGATGGACGGTATCCTCTATGGTGCTGTCCTCTATAGTGTGTTGGTCGATATTGCATCCACTTTTTGGTGGGACTTTGATTAGGGGTTCTTTGAGAGATATCTGTATCTCTAAATGTTACCTGTCGTTGGTATCTTAATTCGGTTCCATATCTTTGTGGGGGTTGATATTTTGATGTTTGATCCTTCTTCCAGTTCCTTTGTGTTTGTGTTTTATAGTCGGCCTGATCTCTCATAATCTTCTTTCTTTTATTTTCTAAAGACTTGCTAATCGTTCCTGGCTCCCATTTTTTGTATTTATATTTTTATTCCAAATTTGGACTATTCTTTTATGTTTTTTATATGATGAATAAATCTCTATATTATTTTTTAAATACATTCTGTTAATAGTGGTTTTTTACTTTCACTTGTAGTTTTTTGCCTAATTCTCAAGTGATTATAACTAATACAGTTAATATGGAGTTTTCTATGTCTCCTTATTAAAATATAATACTGTTCTTTGCACGGACTACTTAAAGCAATATACACACTATTTTAAACAGTGTGTGAATTTTACGCATAACAGGTAACCAGGTTTTATATGGTTATTTTGTATTCAGCAATAACTTTGTATTAAGCAGATCATTCGGTGTGTACCAAACAGATTCTGCCTATAGCAGATTTAAAGGTATACACACCATACATTCTGGCATAGTTACCATCCAGCATTTTAAATATTTTATCCTATCACACCAACGAAGTCATATACTAAGTGAATTTGCTCCTGAACACATCACCTTTGAAGGTATCCCTGTTTTCTATATTTCCAGACAGGTTTTGGGTGTATTCCTGTCTTTGTTCAGTTTTGAGCTATTTACTTTAAGTCAGACTCCCTCACCCCTCTGTGTTTGCATCAAGCAGACCAGTTTCTATTTTCTTGTACTTTAATAATTCACCCAGTGAGGTTTTAGAGGACGACTATGGCTCTAAGCAGAAATATTGATACAATTAGATCAGATAGGAAGTCCTTTATGGGCACTTGGTCCACAGATGAAACTTATACTAATTCAAATGAACCTGCTCTGCCACCTAAGGATCAACGGAAAGATATTAGATCTTTTATCCACCAACTAGGAAAATTAATGGAGAGAGAGGTACAAATTTGGTGGGATATAGCCACCCTTGATTTTTATGTTAACAACAACATTGTACCACGAGGATTAAGACTCTTCAAAAGATCAACCTATAAACGCCATGATCCAACATTACTTAAGAAGTGGGACCAACTTCTAGATAAAGGATCTCTTTTATTAATGGTATTCCTCATCAATGAGAAAAAGAAAGATCTTACTCAACTGGATCAAGAAATTACACAATTGAAAAGCACTATCCGCCCCCTAGTGGAGAATGGGGATTATGTGGAACTTCTAGATACGATAGAAAGAAGAGTTAAGGATATTGAGATGAATATAAGAGAAAATAAAAGAAAGAAGATTATGAGAGATCAGGCCGACTATAAAACACAAACACAAAGGAACTGGAAGAAGGATCAAACATCAAAATATCAACCCCCACAAAGATATGGAACCGAATTAAGATACCAACGACAGGTAACATTTAGAGATACAGATATCTCTCAAAGAACCCCTAATCAAAGTCCCACCAAAAAGTGGATGCAATATCGACCAACACACTATAGAGGACAGCACCATAGAGGATACCGTCCATCCCAGGACCATAGAGGATACCGTCCATCCCAATATACAAAAAGAGGACACACAGATCTAGTAAACCGACAATATATGAGATACCAAAGGAGAGATTGGCACACACAGGGACATGGACACCAATATACTCCAACTGCAGAAACTCCAACATTTGACCAAATAAGATCGGATTCCAATAACGTAGTCCCAAGAGAAACCAAAAGTCAACCAACTACACATACAGAGAACGATTTTTTAGACAAGCGGGGAAGGATTCCCCCCAAAAGATTTGCAATGGAAGATTTCAGGTCCCCGGAGTTGAGAAAGAAAAGATCCATAAGAGAAACAGAAGAAGATCCAGAACAACAGGAAGAAGTTACCCAGCTGAAAAGGAGGAAATGAACATATTTAATCTATCAACAAGAATACTCAATTTGGAAGAAACCTCACTCCTAAAAAAGGGTCTAAAATTTGCACCGACGTCTAAAAGCTCCAATTTTAATGCATGTATAGATTTACATAAATTCATGAGAAAAGTCTCAATCAAGAAATTCTTTCATGGTAAGGACAAGATGCCACCCACCCCAATACAGGAGTACACACAAACCAATCTACATCCCACCTCTACTTTTTACCCACAATTTGTAAAGACTGATTCCATGAAAGTATTTGAAAAAATGGTAGAAAAAGATTTTAGAGGAAGGATTAAAAACAAGATAGAGAAAGATAATCTAACTAAAAGGGAGAGGCAATCTCTGAAGCAGCTGATGAATTCAGAGGACATAATCATAAAAGCGGCAGACAAAGGAGGTGGTTTGGTCATTCTCAATACGACTGACTACACAGAAGAGAACACTAGATTATTGGAAGACACAAGCACCTATTTGAAACTTAAACAAGACCCTACCTCCCATTTCAAGGGCAAATTAGAAGAGATACTCGACCAAGGTAGAACCAGAGGGATTATCAATGAAAGAGAATTTAAATATCTTTACAACAAGTTTCCAAGAATACCCGTTTTTTATCATCTACCAAAGATTCACAAAAGATTGACTAAACCCCCAGGCAGACCTATTATCTCGGGAATTGGATCCCTCACGGCTAACCTCTCCGAATACGTCGATCAGTACCTACAAAATCTGGTACCACGTCTCAAATCCTACCTGAGAGACTCTACACAACTATTAAATCTTTTATCCGATTTTAACTGGTCCAAGGACATGATTTTAGTCACAGCAGACGTCACCTCACTTTATACAGTGATAGAGCACTTGCAAGGATGCGAGGCAATACAATATTCACTGGCAACCTATTCAGAACTAAAGAATGACCAAATCGACTTCTTAATACAATGCATTGCTTTTATACTCACTCATAATTATTTTTGGTGCAATGACCAATTTTATTTACAGATTGAGGGGACCGCCATGGGGACTCGTTTTGCGCCAAGCTATGCGAACCTATTCATGGGCAAATGGGAGGAAGAATTCATATGGGAACATTGCCCTTTTGGCGCAAACCTGTCCCTATGGCGAAGATACATAGATGACTGCTTTTTTATCTGGAAGGGAGATGAAAACTCCCTTGAACTGTTCAAGACCTACCTCAACAACAACCCCTACAATCTAAAGTTTACTTTTAATCAGTCACGTGATCAAATTGAGTTCTTAGATTTAAACATTTATATAGAAGGCAACCAGATACAAACCAAAACTTTTAAAAAATCAGTAGACTGCAACAGTTTTATTCCTTTTAATAGCCACCACAAGAATACTTGGCTCAGAAACATCCCGTATAGCCAATTTAGGCGGATTAGAAGGAACTGCTCAAACATACAAGTATGCGGTGAACAAATGGAGGAGATGCAGCAAAGATTCATCAACAAAGGCTATCCCCTAACATTACTTACTGAGGCTAAAACTAGAGCTTTAACTATTCCAAGACAAGATACCCTTAAAAATAAAGTTGAAACTATTGAGATGAATCAACCCATACCAGCTTTTATAACCCAATATAACCACCAGTCCCGCACTATAGAGAAAATCCTAAAGAAACATTGGAATATCCTCATGAGTGACCCTTCCTTGATAGGTATTCTGGAGAACCAACCACGTATCATCTTTACCAAAGCACCCAATCTACAATTACTTTTGGCTCCAACTCTCAAGCAATGCAAGATCCAACAAGACACGATGGCCACAAAAAGTTTCAAGCGGTGTAAAAAATGTGTTGCGTGTACTAATAATCCTTCTCTGGATTTTGAAATGACTAAATTCACATCTATGGATGGCACGAAGGAATATGATATTAAGACCAACATGAATTGTGATTCAAAAGGAGTTATCTATCTCATCACATGTCCGTGTTCTAAACAGTATGTAGGACGTACAAAAAGGGCATTGAAGACGAGGATGGCGGAACACATAAGGAACATTAGAAAGGGTCTCCAAACCCATAATTTGTCAAGACATTTCCAAGACTTTCACGGAGGAGACCCCACAGGACTAAGATTCCTACCGATTGAAAAGGTAGATGTCAATTGGAGAGGGGGCAATATAGATAAGAATCTGGACCAAACAGAAGCTAGGTGGATATTCCACCTAGAGACTTTGGCCCCTAAGGGTCTTAATTTGGATTTTGAACTCAATGCATTCTTATAAAGTTTACCTTTTTTTTTTTTTTTCATAACCCAGTTTTTTATACATACACAAGCACATTTTCACACTGCGCACTTTATATTGAGTAATATTATCCATCACTTTTTAATTCCTTGCACTAAGTTCTTCTACTCAGTATATAGTCGCAATTCACATTTTAGGATATTTTATCCAACCATTATCTACCTCAGTAGAGACACTATATATGTAGTATAATATTACTGCATTCACATTTTTCTCTTTTTTCACATATTCTCTCTATAATTCTAATCAGATATTTCATTATGATAATGAAACTGTAAAATCCCAATCTGGTTATTTCACTGGGATACTGACACTACTTGCATTGGCAATATAAGTTCAGGTATAGCTTCTATTTGAATCTATTCTTCTTAGTATGCACTAATCACTACCGATATCATTTACATTTATAAAATGACTTTGTGCACAGTTTCTATTCTAATGCTTTTATGATCCTCAAACATTTTATTAATCACTTATGATACCATTTGGGTTTGTAATGTAACTTGGGGCACAGCCTCTACTTCAAATTCTCCATGACCTTTTTATAATATATCCATTTTCCCACAGATCGTTTTCTAAGCACATATCCATTTCATTTTGGATTTATTTATTTTTTATTTTTTTATTACTTTTTTTATTACTTTTTATTATAATCAATTCTATAACTGCCAATAAGCTTACTAACTTCTAATTAATTATGATATAGTAATTCTGATTTGCACATACAATACTGTATTTGTGTATGTATCATTCTAATAAGTATCAAACCACTGTATTTCACTCTATTATATTATTTTATTGTATTTTCAATTTACAATTTGTTCCTAATTTACAATTTGTTTTTATAACCACTCTATGTATATATAATGAGATTTACATGTTTAGTTAACCAATAATACACGCAGCCCATCAGCTCTGTATATAAGACAGACATCCAAATCCAGCTGCAGCATGTCTCTGAAGAAGTGGGGCTGACACCCACGAAACGCGTTAGACCAGCAGTGTTAGTGAGCAGGATACGACGGAGCAGCCAGACGCCAGCAGCAGCATCTCTTTCCTTCCCCCATACGGCATCTAAGACCTGGGGACAGACGGACTGCCGAGCATCCGAGAACCAGAGTGAGGTTTGGCACGCACGCCAACCTCCCCAGCAGCCGGCAAGTAATTTCTCTTCATTTTGATACAATAGTATCCACTGTAATCCTTAACAGTTACAGTGTGGATGAAGCTATTTGTGCGAGATCTGCAGTGGCTAAAGACTTGCTAATCGTTCCTGGCTCCCATTTTTTGTATTTATATTTTTATTCCAAATTTGGACTATTCTTTTATGTTTTTTATATGATGAATAAATTTCTATATTATTTTTTAAATACATTCTGTTAATAGTGGTTTTTTACTTTCACTTGTAGTTTTTTGCCTAATTCTCAAGTGATTATAACTAATACAGTTAATATGGAGTTTTCTATGTCTCCTTATTAAAATATAATACTGTTCTTTGCACGGACTACTTAAAGCAATATACACACTATTTTAAACAGTGTGTGAATTTTACGCATAACAGGTAACCAGGTTTTATATGGTTATTTTGTATTCAGCAATAACTTTGTATTAAGCAGATCATTCGGTGTGTACCAAACAGATTCTGCCTATAGCAGATTTAAAGGTATACACACCATACATTCTGGCATAGTCACCATCCAGCATTTTAAATATTTTATCCTATCACACCAACGAAGTCATATGTTAAGTGAATTTGCTCCTGAACACATCACCTTTGAAGGTATCCCTGTTTTCTATATTTCCAGACAGGTTTTGGGTGTATTCCTGTCTTTGTTCAGTTTTGAGCTATTTACTTTAAGTCAGACTCCCTCACCCCTCTGTGTTTGCATCAAGCAGACCAGTTTCTATTTTCTTGGACTATTTACAGGACTTCGAGAGACTGTGTTTGCTGCACGAAATTAACGATGCAGACAGAGTACCCCTACTAGCGGGGAGATTATCTGGGCGAGCCGCCGAAGCGTACCGGGCAGTACCAGACGAGGACAGTAGAGACTACGCTAAAGTAAAACGGGCCATTCTAGCCCGGTATGCCATCACATCAGAGGCGTACCGAAATAAGTTTCGGGACATTAAAAAACCCACTAAAGACACCCATGTAGAATGGGCACACCAGCTGCAACGAGCTGCCAAGGGGTGGCTGGAGGCCGCCCAAGTTGATACATTGGAGGGTCTGTTCCAGCTAATGGTACTGGAGCAATTCTTCAATGGCGTCCCGACCTACCTACAAAACTGGATTCGGGACAGAAAGCCACACACCCTGCAGGAAGCGGCTAATATGGCAGACGATTTCCAGGACAATCGGAGAGATCAACCCGTACCAACCCGAGCCGTCATCCCCCCTGCAACGACCAGCACTCCAGGGGGCCCCGCAACTCACCAGCGACCAGGGGTAAGCCAGAATTCCTACCCCCCCAGGTATTCAGCACGTCCACCAATCCGGTGCCATACCTGCAACCAACAGGGGCACATCCAGAGAGACTGCCCACGGAACCGGCCTCGACCCAGCTGGAATAACGCAGCCCCGAGCAACCGTGCCGCAGTCCACTGTATACAGGCCGAATCCTACCAGAATCTGGAGCTGGGGACAACCCAGGAGGAACCCCTCGGCACCCTACACGAGGTGAACCCTATCCAGGCCGCCTCCGATAACCGCCAAGGGCA